AGAGAAGGTGCCGGGCCACTTCTGAGTCTGCCATGGGCTGACTATTCCATAGGATGATACTTCAAAGACGGCTCCCTACCCGTCTGCCCGTGGAATTTCATAAGCTCATCCTTAAATCACTCAAGCATAAGAATTCTGGGTTGAGCCCAGAACAAACACACCCTGAGGATTTATGTTCATTAGTAAACAACCTCAAGTGAAGTACTTCCACTTCAAAAAATTCCTTTACTATGGGCCATAGACCGAGGTACAACAAGTTGTTCAGGTGAAAAATATTACCCATTTAACACTCTTGTGGAATGTGGGACCAGTATTCACGTAAACGGGTTCCTACCTTCCACTCAGACACATCCAGCTCAGCCGCTCCACCGTCCTCCAATGCTCTGGCTGACAGCACGTCTCCTTCTTGCTGTTCTTGCTTCAAATGCTGGTGAAGGTTTAGTACGGCAGCCTTCAAGTCCACCAATAGGTCTTCTTTTTTCTGGTTTAAATGCAGAATCTGCTGTTCCATACTTTTGATGTCTTCCTGTACAGAAAGAATATCTGCATTGTTTAGAAGTCTGAAGTCTTTGGATGTGCATAGGAGCCAGCTCCCTTCAGTAAAAGAGATGATAAATGGTTCTAGGCTGTTTGGGGTTGGCAAAGCCAGGAACCACTCTCCGGTACAGTTTAGTTCCTTCCCAATCTGGCTGCATTTCCAAAGGATGTGGTTAGGTTACCTTAGCTCCTCTGTAGACCTTGCAAATCAGAATATCTGGAGGTGGAGCCAAAGCATGAAAACTTGCAACAGGCTCTATGGGTGACTGTGCAGAACAGCTGGGGTGGAGAGCCACTGCCTTAGTGGCTAGCAATAGGACTGGTGGACCCAGAATGCAAAAGGCCAAGACCCAGGGTCTGCACTTTAACACAGAAGGGCTGTCTGCCTACTTCCCATTTTGTCACATAAAGTATTACAGATGCATGTTTTTAGGAGATATGTTCTCATGTCTGCCCTAGAGATTCTTAAGCAGACTAACATTTGAGAATGGCTAAGTGAAAATACGCTTAGAAGTTTCATTCTTTTATTATTGTCTTTGAAAACTTCTTCAGTATTACTATATCATTTACTCTTTCCACATCCAAGCTTACTATCAAATGGGAATAGTAGTTACCTTGCAGTACAACTTACTATGGGAATGATGGAGAGATGAGTCCAAATTTCATAATGTCGCTTTTTAACATCTGTGTTGGTCTATGCAAATAATTTTTTATATATGGTAGATATGCAAATACTATCTGTCTACGAGAATTATAGAATTAATTACAGAATCCTAGTTTTGGAAGGAATAGCAGATGTTGTCTAGGCTAACAACCTCCTCTTTAGCACCTAAGAGTTATCCAACCCGTGCCTGAACTCCTGCAATGAGTGCTGATCAGAAAGTAGCCTGTTCTTTTTAGGAAACTTTCATGTGTTTAAAATTTGTTTTAGAGCAGGAGGTATATCTGGGTGGTAGAGCATTTGCTTAGCATGCACCAGGTCCTGAATTCAATACCCAGCACTGTCAAAAGAAAAAATATATGTAAAATAAAATTGTTCCTAATATTTTCCTTAAACCCTTATTTTTTCCATGCATGTACTTATCTATCAAGCTCCGTTGTCTTAAAGATATTTATGGTTATTAATTTTTAAAAATTTTTTTACAAATGGAAAAGTTGCACGTCTCTACCTACAAGTAAGTTCTGGAGTCTGCTTCCAGAGGAAGCAGGTGATGTTTCTAAAGCTGCAGTATGTGCCGGAGCAGAGCTGGGCTTCCCCAGGACTCATGTGTGATTGCACACATTCCTACATCAATATCCCCATTCTGTTTGAAGTCAAAGTTCCCATTATCGCTAGTAGCAAATGATAACTGTCAAAATTAAATCTGGGTTGGGAGTGGATTGTGTCCTATTTTCAATAAACACTAAGCTTCCAAGGTCAAGTGCCCCCCCACAAAGTTTTGACAGTCTTTAGAATAACATTTGGGGAACAGAGCAGGAGGTGCTCAACCTCTCCCACTGTGGAGACACAAAGGGCCCTGAGTAGCCAGTTGCAGGTTGCGCCTGCAGACCTCTGGGACCACAGTGCCTGAGGTGGAGATAATTTCCATAACGCTATTACTTGCCTTTTTGCTGTGTTCACATTTGTTCCGATGGCACCAAAACAACAGTGGGTAAAACTACTGTTACCTTTTATGAATCAAGACAGACATCAACTATATCAATTAAATTCTTCACTATGGTAGACTTATAATAGGAAAAAAAAAAAAGAAAAGTGCCAGTCTCATTTTAGATCATGCTTGATAAAGATAGATACCTTTAATATTCTGGTAACAAAATAGGAAGCATGTCCAAAGTACTTTTGCTACCTACCAAAGTATGATGATTGAGGGAAAGGATTTTTATGAAAGTTTGGTTCTGATTGTGAGCTGAACTACCTACCACCCTGCCCCAGTCACATGAAATAAAATAGCTGAGAAACTATACTTTTACTTAAATGCTATACTTAAAAGCCTCTTCTGAAAAGATAGGTGTTTTATATTGATGACTGCCAACATTTGGAAGATCTGGGCTCCTACAATGAGTACTGATCAGAAAGTAGACTGCTCTTTTTAGGAAACTTTCATGTGTTCAAAATTTAGTTTTAGACTGGGAGGTACAGCTGGGTGGTACAGCATTTGCTATACTGTCAACATTTGGAAGATCTACATCATCTAGTGAAATAATATTTTCTAAATGATCAAATATGGTATTTCAAAGTTACACACAGTAGAAGATCCATTCAAAGTATAAGAAAAAACAATAGATTTTAATGTAAAAATATAGAAAGTTCATTAATGTGGCTACAGATCCCATTTATAACTAGCCTATGAGTGACTTTCATTTGTTGGGTTTAATGCACTTTCAAAGAATATCCACAGTTATTCAAAAGGGCTGTTATTGCTCCCTTTTCAGAGTACACTGTCTTTGAGAGGTTGGATTGTCTTTATATACTTTGAACAAAATCAATAAAATAGCCGGGTACGGTGGCACACACCTGTAATCCCAGCAGCTCAGGAGGCTGAGGCAGTAGGATCATGAGTTCAGACCCAGCCTCAGCAACTTAGCAAGGTACTAAAGCAACTCAGTGAGACCCTGTCTCTAAATAAAATACAAAAAAAGGGCTGGGGATGTAGCTCAGTGAGAGAGTGCCCCTGAGTTCAAACCCCTGTACTATTAAAAAAAAATTGACAAAATAGAATGCAGAAGTAGATGAGAATCTGTCTTCTATTAAGCCTGACATTAAAGAAATTTACAAAAATGTAAAAGAGTCACTCTTTTCATAGTGTTTTGAGTGACATAATTATATTCATAAAAATGTTTTTTCTATTAACATGTGTTTATGATTGCTATTTTAAAATAAACTAAACAAATATTTTTACTTTTCTGAGTTTCAATCCCTATGTCCTCAGATATACAAACAAAAGCTCTTTGTAGTCCTCAAATTTTCTCATGAACACAGAACTTGACATTTTCACAGTATTGAATCTTTAACACTAAGTCTGTGTAATTGGTTCCACCCCTTAATGACTATGTCATCTTGAACCTCTCTGTACTTTACCTTACATGTTAAGTAACTTGCTTCTGTCTCACACCTAGTAAATGGTATAACCTTGCTTTGTAGTGTCACATTAACTACCTGCCTGCATCAACTGGATCACAGGACAAAAAACACAGCTCTCTAGTTGAACTACCTACCACCTCTAGAATCCTTGGTATATAATCATGTTTTTAAATACAGAAGTACTGACTTAAAAATCAAGACTGAAACAGTGGAGGATTGACAGGCAAACCACTGTAACTGGGTGCTCTGGACATTATTAATTATGGCAAATGGAAATACAGCCTGGCATATGAAATCCTTCATTATAATGGTGTCCGGAGTTTTATTACTTCTAAAGCCCAGCCTGCCCACACTGCCTAACTACCACCCCAAAAAATTAGTCAGAGAGCCAGGTTGTCCAAATAATCAATGCCACACGAGTCTCTTTGGGATCAGAGCAAATGCAGATCAAAATATACCATGTTGAGGCTGTGAGCACTTGAAAAGCTCCCCATTAAGGAAGAGATGTGGAAGCCCCAGTCCAGTTTCTGGAGCTAGAACTGCCCAGCCTACGATTTTATCATGCTTCAATAATGACATTATACAATCCTCTATTTTATGAAACAGGAATGGAAAGTGAAGGCACACAATAAATAGCTTTAATTGGAAAAAAGAAGTCAGACATAATGCTGTAGGCACTAAATACCAAGGGCTTAAACACTACTTATTACTATTGAATGAATGGATGAATAAATGAATGAAAGAAACATACCTGTACTTCTGGAAAGTCAACAGCTTGGTCTGGTGACATATGTTCAAGGGAGAACTCCGTTGAATAATTATTTAAGATTCGTTTCAAATTTTCTATTTCTTCATTGCATTCATTAGTCTGTCTTATGACTACCTACAAAATACCCCCCCCCAAAAAAGAAAAACTTGTCATATCTAAGGACTAGATTAATGGGCTATTTTCATTATCTATCCCCACGATAAGTTCCAATCAAATGCAGAAAATATGCACTTATACAGATTTCAACAAGAAATACCGAATATCTTATATTTATATTCTAAATATATTGTAGATATATCCTGAATATCATCTACATTCTAAATATTAAGAACGTTTGCAAAACTGGCCTGACCTTCCTGCTCTACTAGGTGAAGGGTCACCTTGGGCAGTGCTTAGAGTACAAATCTAAGTAGACACACCTTTTCTCCAAAGTATTTCCAATCTAGTGGGCTTACTCTGGGAAGCCTATTATGGCATATTAACATAAAGTTGCTAAGATTTATGACATTACTGCTATATCATATTCACCATTTTAATACACAATCCACATGGAGCTTTCCAAAAGAACAGTGACATTACTGATTCAGAATGAACAGGACATGAGATTGAAGTGATGATGATGAATTTTCCTGGTTCAGACCTATCCTCCCCAGTACACCTTAGGATTAAGGAGGCGCATTTTGTAAGTAAAAAACTGAAAGTTCAAGAGCAGTCTGAATTTGTAAAACTCACCAGAACAGCACATGGAACCTGATGTTAAGGGAACAGAGCTCAGACCTATTTGTGAGCGAAATGGTATGATTCAAGAAGGATGAAAGATAAATGGACTTCAAAAACCAAGTCTAGATACTTCTTTGGTATGCTTCGTTGTGAAGCAGAATATCTTTTGAAACTACGAAGTTTCTGGCCAACATATAATGCTTCCTTGTATTTTCTTTAATATTTAACCATAATTTTAGCTGCAGGCTAGAAATGAATAACTACGTTCACTGCACACACCTGTTCCCAGTCTTCAACAGTGAACTACATCTCATTACTCTCCCCAAAAGTAATTTCTCTTATTTTCCACAAGGAAGGCACTTGTAATATCTACAGTAAAATTAAAGGAAATGTCCCATATTCTAATGATTTTCATTTTCACTAGCTTACTTGGCTTTGAAAGATAGGAGGGGACATTTGATTTCCACCAACACAATAAGATGGAAAATTTTAACAGCACAGTTTAATACCGAACTTGGCAAAAAAATAAATAAATAAAAATAATAAATAAATAGCATCTTCCATCATCCCCTTTTCATCTTGTGAGGAAGCTGCTTTAAAGCATAGTTAAGATATGATATATTAAGAACTATGTAATGTTTTGAACGACCAACAATAAAAAAAATAAAAATAAAAAAAAGAATTGTTATTTTCTCTTCCTGTCCAGGAGACCAATAAAGCACCAAAAGATTAAAAATACTACATCAAGTTTGATGTTCTTTTCTTCTCTTACATTATTAAAAAAATAGAACATTGAGTGCTATGTCTTTTTTCTCTCTGTGAGTGTTAGAAAATGACACCAGTGGATCACTAGCCAGGCCAAGAGGGACTGTGTGAGGTAAGACTCAAACCAGGGAATACAGGATGAAACCTTAGGATGATCGAGTGGCAGCCACAGGCACATGAAACTTAAGAAGGAACAAGCTATTGTGGTGGTCAAAGGTAGGATGCAGATGTCTACTAAGAGGGTCTGTAGAATTCAAGATCTTTCAGCAATTTTCTGTTCTTATGAGAGTGGTTGTTGATCTAGGAATACATGCTAAAGAAAAAAGTCATTTCTGACCAATGATGATTCCTGTCTTGAGAATGGTGATCTAACAAAATTTAAGTGGGAGAAAAACATTCTCTGGAGAGAGGATGAAAGATGTTATCAGCTAGAAGGAAGAGACCCTTAATAGTGAGAAATGAAACCAAGGGTCCAGAAACTCAAACTTGTGTTATATTTGTACACAAATTAAACCTATATGCAGGTTAACTCTGTAGCTGCTCAGCAAATCACTTAACACCCTGACACCAGACTCCATGAAGACTGTAAAGTGCCTACCCTCTATCTACTCACACACTGGGTAATAAGATAATAAAATGAGCTGATTGCTAGAAATGAGCAAAATAGATAGACAGACCTGTTGGCTTCCATAGACTGCAAATGCCTGGTTTAGGTTCAAATCTCTTGCCACAGCACTGTACCAACATAGGTTTTTAACAGGTGTGGAATGGAATTAAATAGACCAGGACTATGCTTTAATGTCTTCAACCAGAGTAAGGGCAAGAATGAAGGAAAACAACCTTAGCCCCATTTGGGCAAGAAATTAAGCTCTTCTATCAAATGCCACCTTCTTGATCATAATTATTTCCAATTAAAATTGAGAACAAAACTAGCTTTTGCTGAACATTTTTATCCAATAGATTGTGTGCCATTGTAAACTGCTCACCTTTAATAACTCATTTTGTTCCTGAGTCACGTTTTCCAATAGTTTTACAGCTTGCAAAAGCTGATTTGTCCGCTGAAACACAGGCAGAGGTTTTGTTCCTGCCTGGGGTAGCCTCAGTTCCACTTGGTAAGACACTATCTCAGCAATGGTTTTCTTCATGGGGCGTATATTTTCAAGTATGACCTTAATAACACAAGAAAAGCATGGTACATAAATGAAGAAAAAGACCACTGCTGAGTTTAATTATTCAAAATTAAAATACTGAATACTTTAGTATTTAAAACATTTCCTTAACTCAGATTGAAAAGAACCATTGCATCACTTGGGATGTGAGAGTTAAGGGTCTCGGGAAAGAATGCCTGGGGTAAGAGCAATTTGCCAGTATTTACTTGTGCACTTGGACGGCCCTTTGCTTTCTTCTCTCCCTTTCTCTCTGTGTGAAATTGTTGTTTAGCTCTGCATATTATCACTAAGCAGTGGGCTATCAAAGGGCAAATTCTGTATCTTATCTTTAGAGCAACTGCACAGAGCTTCCTATATAGCTCTCAAAAATGCTTATTAAATTGAACAAAATTGTCCAGAAAATTTTTAATTCCCAGGAGTATAATTATATTTGGCTTTAATCAACTTCTGATCCATAGAATCTGGATCAATCTGCCTACCTACCTACATATCTACCTAGGTAATTTGCAGGGGACTGAATCCCAGTGCCTCACATATACTAGGTAAGCATCCTATCACTGAGCTACATATACAGGCCTTTATATTTTATTTGGAGACAGAGTCTCACAAAGTTGCCCAGGCTGGCCTTGAACTTGAGATCTTTCTGCCTCAGCCTCCTGAGTAGTTGGATCACAGCATGGCTACTAACCAGTAAATTAGGAGAAATTAATCACTTTACTAAATACTTCTTCATTTAATCTTCATAATCCTCTTGGGAAAGCATGCTAACCTCCATTACAGAGGTGTCTGGAAGTTAGAAGATTCAAATAAGGTGAGATTGTAAGAGGCAGGGGTGGGATTAATACCCAGGCCTGCCTGATCCCAAAACACAAGTTTTTGATCCTCAGGCTAAGGAGGAATCAAAGTCTGTCTCAGTTCCTGTGCTAGGAGCTCCATATGCACTGTAACTAGAATGTAATGACTTCAATCCTAGTGCACAGATATGACAAGGTACATACACACTCAAGTTCACGCAGCTAAGGAAGCAGTGTTATAGTGCTAGAACCCATTTGAGCCTGGCTTAGGTGCTCAAGTTCTTTAGACTTGAAGGCAAACTTACCTATACAATAATTATCTTTACACAGGTAGCATTATGAGTATAATTTAAAGCATTTATATTCATTCATATCTATTTCCAAACCTTATTTTTGCTATTATTCTAGCAAGATGAACACTTTGGGGGCTAGGGGTTTAGCTTAGTGTTAGAGTACTGTCTGAGGCATCAGGAGGCCCTGAGTTCAATTACCAGGATCATAAGACAAAACAAAACAAAACAAGACAAATACTTGGTTCAAATCACATTATTACATATTTTTAAACAGACATAGCAGGTATTATGAGAATACTTTTTATAATGATCTATGCTTACCTCTCCATGCTTAAGATGTTCTTCAGGTGAAAAATCAAATATTTCTTTTGATAACAGGATAGTTCTGATTTTTGAAACTTTTTTCTCCATAGATTTTACTTCGGATTCAATAGCAACCACATCCTAGAATTTCAGAAACAGAACCAACTTATGCAGTATATGCTGTAAACTAATAATACATAAAACACAATTTATTGCCATTAATTCTATTTTACACTTAGCCAAAGAATTTGCTACTTATATCTCTTAAAAACTAGCCAAGTGCTACAAAGATAATTTTCACTACTTTCAATAAAAATGTCATTTTACTAATAGCATATTCCACTAAAGAGCATTGCCCTAACCTTGACATTGAATTAAAATAATCGTAGAGCTAATTTTCGTTTTCTCATGAGAACAAAGGTAATATGCATCCAAACCATTTTTTTAAAAAAACTCTTGTTATCTACAGACTCTTTAACTTTATCTTTGGAACTGTTTAAACACTTGAAATAGGTGGGTCTGATATTTTAAAAATTTCCACCACTTTAAGTAAAATGATAAAATTACCCTTGAAAAAGTACACACAAAGATTAGAAAACTGACCAGATTTTTTAATCAACCCTTGATAAAATATTTTTTAAAACATTTTTTATTACTCTATTACTTTATTTATTATGTGGTGCTGAGGATTGAACCCAGTGCCTCACATGTGCTAGGCAAGCCCTCTACCACTGAGTCACAACCCCCACCCTTTTAATAAAATATTGCCAAGCAATATTATAAATGACTTTATAATCTACTCAGATTTTTTTAAATAATAGATCATTTGTCCAGTGGTTATTTCTCTAGTTAGTGTCAACGTCCAGAACCTGGCCAAGAACCTTAAATGCTACAAAAATAAGTTATAATATGCGCTATAAAATCTAGATATGAAATGCATGTCACTGTACAAGACCCCTCAATCTGACTTTGGAGATCAATACAGATCCCTATAGCAGTAAGATGGTATGGTTAATAATGGAGATTTTTTAAATCCCATAAACATAGCCTAACGGTTTCCAATTCTAGCAGTTTGGAATCACTCAACATAGGGTAAAATAGACCTTCATTAGCATGAAGCAGACAGTAAATACAGTGACTGTCTATAGTAGTCCCCCCAAATTATGAGAAAATGTTAAAGTACACTGAAATAATTTTCTGTACCTACTGTTTGAGAAGGTACATAAATTTTTTCTATGTATTCCATGGTAATTTCTATCAGAAGTTGCAGATGCACTCTAAAACCTTGGACTAGGTTTCAGTAACCAAGAATTTACTTCAACAGCTACTATTCCCCAAAGTTACAGGAGTATGGAATGCCACAGAGAAACACAAGGTAAATAACAGAACTAACTGTAAAGGCCTTTTATCATGTGACTTTAAGTAAATGCCTCATGTATTTCAAGCAAAAATTACTTAAAAATTCTGTGATGGTGTGTGTAGGTCAGTTGTAGAGCACCTGCATGCATGAGGCCCTGGGTTGGATCCCCAGCACCACATAAACAAATACATAAAAAAGAAAAAAAAAAAAGGGCTGGGGTTACAGCTCAGTGGTAGAGCATTTGCCTAGCATGTGTGAGGCACTGGATTCAATTCTCAACACTGCATATAAACAAATGAATAAAATAAAGGTCCGTCTATCAACAACTAAAAAAAATATTAAAAAGAAAGAAAAAAAAAAGAAAAAGGAACAATTCAGTGGCTGATATAGCAACCTCTCAACAAATGTTTGCTATTGGTGAAAGAAGACTTGGAAGGCTGCCTGTTTTAATTCCTTCTTTCCATATGGGTATTTTAATTAATTAACTAATTAATTCATTAACATTTTGGGTATTTTAATTAACTAATTAATTCATTAACATTTTATACCTGTTAGGCAAGCACTCTACCACTGAGCTATATCCCAAGCACCCGCAAACCCATTTTTTTCTTAGTGCTTTAAAAATCAACAATAGCCCTATTTGGACAAAGAGAAAACAATGAGCTTATCTGATCAGAATCCTTCACTCTTTAGATAGAATAATTCTGGATTAAGAATGGTGATATGCTTTTCTGTTATGGTTGCACTCAAGGTTTCAAAGTAAAGTAAAAAGAGCATAAGTGAAAATTTTACCAGTTCATTGTGGGTTTCTATAACTCAGACATGATTAGTAGTACAACAAATTTGCCAAATGAGCTACAAACCAAAAACAGGAAGTCACATCTTTAGGGTGTCAACTTACATCTGCCATCCGCTGAATGTGGGGAAGGCTTTCCATTATTTGTTGCTGGAGATCTACTACTTGACTGCTTAGGTCTTGTACGGACTGTACTAAGTCATCTGTTTCGAAAATGTCTGACAAATCCTCTAGATCTGTGAAAACTGAATGTAAAAGATTGTGCTTCTGCTCAGAATCTTCCAAAGCCCTCTAGATAGAGAAAAAAGAAAAGAGAAAAACAAGTTGATTAAAATTTAAATTAGTGTTTCAAATTCCTGGTTCTTTCCATTTCCATAGTGAAAACACTGAACGCTTCCTATTGCCAGTGGCCATGGATGACTTTATAGAGTGTCTGCTATGATATGGTGCCATCCAAGTTTTGTATTCCTATCCAAAATGCTTGGGACCTAAATTGTTTTGGTTTTCAGATTTTTTTTTCATATTTTAAAACATATGCATATACATAATAAAATGTCTTAAGGATGGGACTCCAGTCTAAACACAAAATTCATTTACACAATGTATACACCCTTCAGGATATATACATATCCAGAAGGTAGTTTTATACAATATTTTAAGTGTGTCTGCATTTTGATTAAGACCCATCATCTATTTCAGATTCTGGAGTAATTTTAGATTTCAGATTTTCAGGTTAGGGATGCTCTACTTATAACAAGAATTATATTTATTTGACCTTCATTCTGAGTTCCTAGCAGAGAGTTTCTAAAATCCTTGAAATTTCCTGAGTGACAGAGGTGAGAAGAGCGTCATTAATTATTCATAGGTTTCTTTAAAACATGTACTAACTTTCAAACTCAATATTTCCTTTTTGTTTGTTTTTGTGGTGCCGAGGATCAAACCCAGGGCCTTATGCATGCCAGGCAAGTGCTCTACCACTGCATACTTAAGATTTCAAAATATCTCAAAATTTTCAGCCTGCTAATGTAGTTTTCAGGTAATTCCATAAAAATCTAAGTGATACGAGAAAGAATATTTACTTATTCAGGTAGAAATCTAATCATAAGTCTCAAAAATTAATCAGATTATTCAGAATTTTCTATTGATCTTATTCAAAATCCTAGTTAAGAGAAACAAAACTTAAAACCAATGCCTTTGACCAATAATACAATAGCATTAAAAAACCATGAAATACTTAAATTTAACTTTACACATACAAGAAACCAGTACATTGACAATTAGAAAACATTGCTGCAAGAAGTAAAAGACTAAAATAAATGAAGAGATATACATGTTCCTAGATTGAACAGTCAACATGGCTAAGACATAAATTCTACCCAAATTGATCAACAGATTTAATGGAATCCCACTCAAAATTCCAACAGACCTCTAAATAGACATTGACAAGCTGATTCTAAGATTTATATGGAAATGCAAAAGAATAAGATTAACCAAAACAAACTGGAAAAAGTTATAGAATTTATGATACTTGATTTCAAGATTTACTATAAAGCTATAGTAATTAGGACTGTTACAATGGTAAAAGAACTGAGACAGATCAATAACACAGAAGAGAAAACTTAGAAATAGAACCATACATATGAGGTTAACATTTTCAAGAAGGTACCAAAATAATTCAAAGTTGAGAGTCCTTTCAATAAATGGTGTTGGAACAATAAGATATCCTTAGGGAAAAAGATGAACCTTGACCTTTAACACTGTTTTCCTTGATTCATCTGTATACAACAATTAACATTAAATAGATCATAGACCTAAAAGTAAGAGTTAATACTATCAAATTTCTGGAAAATAACATAGGAGGATATCTTGTGATCTTTGATTAGGTAAAGATTTCTTAGATATAGCACAAAAGAATAATCTATAGAAGAAAATATTGCTAAATTAGACTTTATCAAATTGGTAACTTCTGTTCTCTGAAAGACAGTGATAAAAGAATGGAAAGACAATAAAATAAACTCCTTTCTTCCCTTGTCCCCATTCCCTCTGTTCAGTTCACAAACTAGGGAAAATATGTGTAAATCACATATCATATGATACAGAAATCATTTTTAGAATGTTTTATAAATAACTTCTACAACTTAATAGGGTAACAATCCAATTTAAAATTGGGGGTGGGGGTGGGAAATGAATAGACATTTCACAAAGGAAGTATATAAATGACAAGGACATGAATAAATGCTAAAAACACGAGTCATTAGAGAAATGCCAATTAATCCAGAATACTGCCATCTATCACTAGAATGGCCAAAATTTAAAAGATAATACCAAGTGCTGACAAAAAGATGGAGGGGAGTCAAAAAGTTATACCACCATCTCAGAAAACAACTTGGCAGTTTTTCATTTAGTTGAACATTTACCATAAAAGCCAGCAATCATACTCTTAGGTATTTATTCATTGAAATGAAATTAAAAATATATGTCCACATCAACATTTGTACAGAAATCCATTCACAGCAGCTTTGCTCATAATGGCCTGTGGCAACCAGCCTTCAATATGGCGCCCACGATCCTCGCTTCACAGTATTCATGCCTGTATAATCAGTTCCCTGGATTCATGATTTACTCTAATGAAATATGACCAAAGTAATAAGATGCCACTTCCCAGATGAGGTCACAAGAAGACTGCAGCTTCTGACTAGGGAGTTACCTTCTCTTGTTTACACTGGGGGAAGCCAGCTGTGAGGTGGTCTCTTGTGAAGAGGCCGTGTCTCTGGGTACGGATGTGGATCTTTCACGGCCTGTTGTGTGTGAATGCATGTGGAAGTGGATCCTGTCTCTCTTTCCCTCACAAACCAAGAATTCAGAGGAGCCCAAAGCCTCTGCTGATACCATGACTGAATTCATGAGAGACTTTGTGCCAGACACACTCCCCTAAGCTGAGCCTGGATTCTAGACCCACAGAAACAGTGAGATAATAACAACATGGTGTTTCGAGCTGCCAATCAGGGGTGTAACTTGTTACACGGCAATAGCTAACACATAGCTCAGAATCAGGAACGACCCAAACCCTACTCACTGGTGTATGGCACATGATTCGTTCACTTCCCTAAATGGAACACAGCAATTAAAATAATGAACTCTGGATAGATGTTAAGTGAAAGAAGTCAGACATAATAAACTATGCAGTTCCATTTACATGACAGTCCAGAAAGGACGGAACTATAGTAATAGCAAGCAATGAGGGAGGGAAAGGTTGCCTAGGTCTGAAGATGAACAAAAGGAGACGGACACCGAGTGCAGAGAGGCACAAGGAGACTTTCTGGGGTGATGGAAATGTTCTTCAATTTGTTGTTGTTGTTGTTGGTTACACAGCTGCACAATTAAGAGGGGTGTATTTCAGTACATGTAAAATTATACCTCAATGAAGTTGATTTAAAAACAAGCTAGTTTACTATTTTTACAATGATCATTTGTTTTGATGATTCTTAATTACAATAGTACTAATTATGAAATCAGCTTTAGATCATACAAATGTATTTTAACAAATGCAGTCCAGGCAAAAAGTTATAGTGCAATTAAAACAAACTTTTTTTAAACCTCAGTTGAGATTTTTAAGAGTCACTTTAAAAAGTAAGACCTGGTAATGTCAAAAGTGGAAAAGAATATCTTAAAAGTAGAAACAACTATTTCCATTATGAGGACAAAATGGGATTTTCCACAGAGGACTAGAAGTAAGCTCTCGGGGACTTACTTCCCATCGGGGGATTTATTAGATCCATTCTGGAGAAAATAAACTTCTTTCTTCCCTGTCCCTATTCCCTCTGCTCAGTTCTAGCTTATCAACAAAGTCCACCAATCTCAGTATCCTGAACAGTCAGACACTTTTACAGATGTATATTTGTTTAAGGAGAAGGCAGCAAAAGCCAACTGTTCTTGCCTGAGTGGCTATAGTTTTTAATTTTTAACTCATCAAAAACATTTGAGGAAAAAGCATTATTTCTCTTTCCTGTCTTGGCAGACTCTTCCAAAATGGTGAATCATAAAAGTGATTAAAGGGCTGGGGTTGTGGCTCAGTGGTAGAGCACTTGCCTAGCATGTGCAAGCCACTGGGTTTGATTCTCAGCACTACAAACAAATAAATAAAACAAAGGTCCATTGACAAAGAAAAAAAATTTTAAAAAAGTGATTAAAAATAAAAAGATGGCATGCTCTACGGATGTGGAAAATCAATCTAAGGAATGTGTGTGGTGGCAGTGAGGGACAAAGGTGATCAGAAGCAATGCAGAAGAAAAGAGATAAATGGATAAAAATGCATTATCTTGACAACTGTTACCACAGGACAAAAATGTGCCACCAAATCTCAAACATCAGGGAGGCAGGGAGACAGGAAGTCAGCCACCCACTGTGGAACATGCTGTGCTGTTCTAAAGATATAAAGAGGACACAGATCATCTTGGAGGTATGAGTTCTGTAAAAACCATTATAGAACATTTCCTAAGGGATCTTTTCCAGTGGCTGAATGAGAGAAGAAAAATATTCCTTCACAAACAGAATTTCGTGGACCAAAACCATCAGTGCTCAGCATCTGGACCACCCCTGCAAGTCATGGCCCTGCCTAGGAGAATACTTCCCTCTCTTTGTCTCTATAAGCTGACATGGAGACACAGGGGACCTGGGCAGTGCCAGGAATGAATCCTGGGATGTCAGGACTGGAAGGAACCATGGATTGGCTTTCTACTGCTATGTAACGATTACTACAAATCTGACTGCTTCAAACCCATTTATTATGTGACGTGTTCCATGGGTCAGGAGTTAAGGTTTACTGTGAGTGGGTCCTGTGTTCAGGAGGCCATCAGGTTGCAAACAGTCAGGTTGTTCACAGAATTCAGTTGTAGTACTGAGGTCCCTGTTTTCTTGCTGGCTGATGGCTGAAAGTGGCTCTCTGCTTCTAAAGGCACCCTTGAATCCCAATCCCATGGTTCTTACTTCTTAAGGCCAGCAGGAGAATCTCTGTATGGTTTGCCACTAGGGAATCTTGTGATCAAGTGACATGATTGATCATGTATGTATCCACAACAGTGACTATTCCATTGCCACAGTCACAGAACATAACCTAATCAGTGTGACTATTCTATCCTGTTCAGAGTCCTGCCTAGACTCAAGGGGAGGGGATTATTAACGTCATACACACCAAGGAATGAGAATATTGGGGGGCCATCTTAGAATTTCGTGAACCAAAACCATCAACACTACCCAATGCAAACTTCTTACTTCATGGATGGGGAACACTGAGGCCCGTGGAAGATAAATGCTAAAATTATCCAAAAAGTCATGGAGTAGGACAAAAAGAACCAGATACCGATCTCCAAAATTCCTTTCTAGTGTCTGCCAATATCTCAAGCTTCCTTCTGCCTCTTAGCATGATGATAAGGGTTATGGTTTCGATGTGGTGTCCCCAAAAGCTCACATGTGAGACAATGCAAAGTTTGGAGGAGAAATGATTGGATCATCTTTAACCAAATCAGTGGATTGATCCCTGAGGGGATTAACTCAGTGGTAACTGGAAGCAGGTAGATGTGGCTGGAGAAAGTGGTTTATCTGGGGTGTGGCTACAGAGTATACATTTTATATCTCCAGAGTAGAGTCTCTCTCTCTCTCTCTCTGCTTCTTGATCACCATGATGTGAGCTGCTTCCCTCTGTCACACTCTTCCACCATGATGTCCTATGTCACCGGGAGCCCTGAGAAATGGAGCCAGCCTTCTATGGACTAAGTAAGACCTCTGAAACCATGAGCCCTCAAATAAACTCTTCCTCCTCTGTAATTGTGCTAATCGGATCCTTTAGTCACAGCAGCAAAAAAGCTTGACTAAAACAACAAGTAAGGTGGATTTTCAGGTAAGAAGAAGAAAAAAAGATGATGTGATTGGCTACCCAGTGACACTTGTAGAGATTCTCTCACTAACAGAAAACACTTACCTGCAGGGTGCTGGCATGGTGACTCAGGGTTCTTGAAGAGTCATAGCGAGCAGGATTGGCCAGCAAACAACTGGTATTTTCTATCCAAGCCTCTGTGCTCTTCAAAAGATCACTATACTCCTCCATCTTAATTGTGGCCTGAGAAAGAAATGTGGGACCACATTTAGTCAGATGCTGGTCACTGGGGTTGAACGGTTCCTGAATGGAGAGTCACTTGAGATTAGTCAGTGATGTGTTGGGCCTTTCAGGCCCCATGGCTAACAACACTGAAGACAGCACTCCACGTGAAGACTCTCCCAGCTTTTCAGACTGATTCTGACTATGGTGGAAAGAATTTAAGAAGTTCCACCCTGATGCTGTGGGCTTCAGCAAGGGTTCCAAGTCTGCCTTGCAGCTAGCCTGATTCCCATTTATGCTTCTTTCTCAAAACTGGCTAATACTTCCTCTTGTTCAGGGTCTTTCCCTATAATGTCCCATTAATTCTCATTTTGTCCCATAATATATATATATATTTTGTATCAGGGGAGGAACTATATATATATATTTTGTATCAGGGGAGGAACTAGGGGTGCTTAACCACCGAGCCACATCCCTAGTTCTTTTGTATTTTATTTAGAAACGGGGTCTCACTGAGTTGCTTAGGGCCTTGCTAAATTGCTGAGGCT